ACGTTTGACAGCGTCGACAGTGGCATAATGTGGAAACATCTTCAACACTACGGTATGCCCGAGAAGACAGTCAATATCATACAGACTAATTCCAAGTTGAGACCTGTGACAGACAAAGTTGATTACTCTCGCCCTTTCTCTTTCATCTGGTGGTTGACTGGATTTTGAATACCTCAACATCTCAGAGGAAGCAAGCGATATATTAGACAACTTGGAAGCTAGTTCTGTTGTTCAAACTTCATCCAACCTGTTTCACTTATTCTAAGGATCACCGAATTTAATCTTTTTATTTCCGCAGCAACTTGAATGGTTCTTCCGATCTCCCACATTTTGTGAAAGTTCCATGTACCTGTCAGTTGTTACTGTGGTTTTCAGAAGCAACATAGACCTTGCGACTTCCAAAGAATCTCAGCATTCAAAATAAGGCGTCATAACTAAATGAATGAAGAATAAATGAAGACCTTGTAACACTCAGACCAGAGTTTAAGTGGTTAAATTCACTTTTTTTCTGGTTAGAGATTTTAGAAAGTTTGTTTTCCATGGGGTGGAGTCGCTAACAACACGCCCAACCCTCCTCCTTTATCAGAGCTTGGGACTGGCAGTAACCCTAGGAGGGCTTCCAGTGGCGTTTCAATGTCGTAATATCTAGCAAAGGAAGCAATTATCCCACCTTTTAAGCGTTATATTTAATATCCGTTAATACTTACACTGCTTGGTTTGAAGCTAGACATTTTTGTTGAGCGAGTTTGCAAAACTTTAAGTATACAAAAGTGACTATCACAAGTACGTTAAGTAACACGATAACATCTGACAAAAATATGGTGAGTTGATAAGCGAATCAAGTACCATTGGGTGATTTCAAGATCACGGAGCATAACCGAATCCAAAATAACTACCATCGAGAGCTTGCTTTCCAGGGCGCCACATCCACAGTTTACGAGCGATAAGACTACGAGATCAACGAATTGTGTTCACAAGATTGAAATGTCTGATGAATGATATGGAGAGTATCGATATGATGATAGTGATATCCAGAAGGTGAAGTGTGGGATAATGGTTATCCGAACCTGAAGGCCAATCAAACCATTAGTCAACATGATGGAGCTCGAAGATATATTCAGAGGATGGTGGACATGATGCAGAGTTCGTCAATAAACTAGTTGATTGTTTCAAGCGACTTGTATCACAGGATACTGAAATTTGATTTCCTTCAAATGCTTAAGTTTGTGCTTTGAGCTAGGAGCGCATTCTAGAAAACCAATAAAATCAGTATCAGTTTCGGTGACTAGCTAAATTGTTGGTTGTGTGGATGTTTTGCTCATTAAAACGCGCCCAAATTGACTTTGAGAAGAATTATGCCGATCCGTGTAAGTCGGAGGAATGAACGACCAACTGCTCTCACTTATATTATTTTTGACGTCACTGTAGTTGTTATAAAGCTGTTGTCATACATATTTTAGGGATATATAGGTGAGAAATTAAATTCCTTTGTTTGTAAGATAAGTAGTCACTGACAAGATTACTGTTGTGCTAGATAACTCAACAAAATAAATAGTTCGGTATGTCTTCGATACCGATGCTGACTTCATTAGTTCTACTAAGCATATTTTAGCTGAACGATCTCAAACAGCGTGGATTACAAGCATATTGACATACAATTTATACCTTAATTCTCCTCTATTCCTGCATTCTGGTTCGTCTTAATATGGGGTAGTGGAACACTTCTACGAAGAAAACGCGATTACTGAAAAATAAACATTTATTTTTGTGCTCCTTTTGTTTAACTGCACTAAAAAACACTTACTTGCGCGCAGCCTTCTTTTTTGCGTCGTTTCCGTCATTCATAAGTTTCTGCTCCCCATATCGCCCACATTCTCCTTCAAATACATTCTTTACCCTGGATTTATTTGTATTCATTGTGACGGGATAGTAATTAGTATTTAGTGATGATCATAGTTAATCTCGACTCGGTCACCACTAAAATGACATACGGACAAAAGTAATATCAAAACCTGGATATCTGTGACACTGCAGGATTTGGTCTAAGCTGTTATTAGTGCACTTATCTATGCTCCTAGAATAATGAAACTTTCATAATTGTAAAATTTCCATGATGTGACTACCTAATATGTGGTATCTAACGTGACGATCACATCACTGTCCAAATTGACTCGTCTTTTCGTGACATTCATAACCTATGGTTTTACCAGTCCTGATGAAAAAAAATGAGCTTACATAGGAAGTTTTGTAGCTTGGTTCCCTCTACTTTCAAACTATTAGAATATATTGATGACGATAGATTCATGCAAGCTGTCTTCTTGTTGCATGAAAGATAATCCCATGGTCACTAGATCAGGGTTAGGAAGGCTGGTTTGGAAATAAAATTAGTTTTTATGCTGAAAAATGTTAGCATGATAGTCGAATAGATAGACAAATCGTTAAGAATTTACCAATGACGTATTTCGTCAGCCATCAGATAGTCCCTTTAGCCTGATTATTAAAAATACTATGGCTCGATCAATCGTGCATTTTAATGCTCTGCAACCTGTTTTATTTCATATTAAGCATTCGTACATCGGAATTACTTACAAACATACTACTGACCGTCACAATAGGATGAGTCAATAAAGAAAATGATATGATCTTCACGTGAGATCCCATGGATTAAGTAGTCACATCACTGCAAGTCCACTATTGTGGAATAGATCTATTATTCTGGTTGCATGGATAAGCGTACTTGTAGCGTGTACAAATACGTTGAACAAGCAGAGGTTGTCCTAGACTTTCTCGAGTCATTCACACATTGTTCGACCTAGTCTAATTTTCGCTCATATCTTGGTGTGTATGTACTCCTTACTTCTCTTATCACATGTCTAACTTATTTTTGTTCAACTATAAGTAGTTAGTTATATCTCGTCGCATAAAGTTGGCTTACTCGTCTCCTGAACTTTGCATTCACGCTTTGTATTCTCGTGTTTGTCTGCGTGAACAACAGCATCAAGTAAACTAATCAAACTAAATTCATATTTGGTTTCTTAATACCACCGTCGCACAAACTGTGTCTGACTAAGCATTATATACGGATATTGAGGAGAAGATTTATTGCATAACATATTCAATCATTCTTCAGATCGCAGGCCACTTGATACTAATAACAACTGGGATCTTTACTGTACAAATCCGCTCACAATTCATTGACTAGGCTTATTTACTTACTTACTTCTAATCGTCTACTTACAACAAAAAGTGTTCCAAAGATGGGTACTCAAGACCACTTTTGTATTTGATTTTTGACATGGTGTTGTTCTAAATGAGTAATGTCGACAGAAGATTAACTAAGTAAGCCATACGGCACGTCCAAATTATGTTGTGTTCCGTTGTGGATGGACGGTCGGCTAATAGAGTTACAAAGTACCACCCATTTAATCAAGAAATTAAGTCCTATTTCAGCTATCAAACGTTTATCGTAAATTGAGATTGTAGTACTAAATAAATCCCCGCAAAGTCAGCATCAGTGATGCTGACTTCATTAGTTTAACTGGACACATCCAAGTGTACATCACCAATGTGTTGGTGGTTACGAGGCTACACGAGTTTGAAAAGAATGCTGTGGCCTTCTAGCACACCTCAAAGTAGCTCCTCATGGTAAACACTTATAATCGACCACTCTAGTCACGTAGCTGGTTAAAATAAATAATCTTAGTAAGCGACGGTATGTATTAGCATTACCTTTTAACAGAAGTACGCGGCGCAACCACTCCCACATGCCCCTGTCTACGGCATGTGATCGGTTGGTGAGCGTTGGTTGTTCATTGCCTTAATAAGATCCTGCAAACTGATTAGCATACATTGACTGGCTTGTCTGATGATTTATCTCGGATCCAGTGACATTTCACTAGCCATACGTTAGTTTTGTTTTAACGATAATTATGGCGAATTTCACAATAAACCTACAAGTTTTAGGTTTCATAAGCAAAATTTCCGAAATAACAAAATAAAACTGTGGAACCGAAATTTTCCAAATTAAAGTTCTTGCTGAACAAATTTATAGTTTGAATAAAGCGAACAAAACCGTTAACAAGTATGAATAAAAATATTCACGATAGTATCCGTCAATCATTTAAGTGGTTAAGCTGTAACAATATATATTCTGCATAGATCATTGTAGACGGCAATGACCATCTAACATGCAGTCAGCGGTGAGCGCTTAAGAAATGCACTCAAATATTAGATAAATCAGTGAGTATACTTTAGGGTTTTGTATTCCATACTTTTAATTAGTCGCGGAAAATGTATTAAGTAGCTATTGTTGTGTGCGAATATCACATCTAGGTTGCTGCAACATTCTTATGGAATTCAGGATCCCTAAATTGATAGCACATTTGCTTCTAATTACTCAGTATTCATCCAATATCTTTCATCCATTCGTCCATTTGGTGTTATGCAACCACTACAAAAACATTCAGCGTTAACATATGATTACTTGACAAGAACAAGTATGAGTGTATATAACAAATTCATTTTGACATTATATGTTATACGTTATATATGCAGTTTCAACTTCTTTGAGTTGTAGAATTATTTTGCCAGAACCTCTGGTTAATAATATGTAAAATGCTCTACCATAGATTGTGTCTACATTAGGGCTTCATTCTGAATAATTTAATCTGACATGTGATAGCCTAAATTACTACATACAAAGCAACAACCCATAGTAATCGGAAGCAAGTAAACAGTAATCGAAACCGTACTAAACGGAGAGAAATTTTAAAATTATCCGTTCTAATAATTACAGATGTAAAAGAATTCAGTGGATGTAAATACTAGAAAGCAGACCTGAACATTGTCTTGTTATTTGTGATACTAATTACCAATTCTGAAACTTAATACATTGAAAACATGCTTTTTTTTTCAATGACACCGGTAAAAAAAAAAACATCACCGCTTAGTAAACAAATTTAGTACAATATTTACTAAGAAAATAAACAGAAACGATTAAATTTTTGTTTATTTATCTTTTATTTGAAGTTAACTAAATCTATTGACATTTGACAATTTTAACAGTAAAATATAATTAATACATTCAATGTATGAGTGGTGTTTACATGATGATTGCCTCCCCACTATTCTGTACAAAAGAAACATTTTCCCCAATCAGTGTACAATGTTGTTTTGCATTCTTTCTTAATCCTTAAAATATAAATTGAAAAATTCATTTTTAAATTACCGTTACTCTAACAAATATTTACTATTAATTAAAATAAAGTTGGATTTTAAAAAAACACTTTTGCATATGACTGCTTGATTATAAACTGTTGTTTATCCCAAAAATGAAATAAACAGTAGCGTAGCATAAGTGAACAATAGTTCCAAAAAGACAGCCAATAAATTTCTATTTTTATCCTCTATGATTTCTCTATTTCAAGTCTAACCATTTAGTAGATTGAAACTGTTCACTTGTAAATTGTCTTCAGATATAAAAAAGAAATTTCCAATATCCCAAACTTTAAGTAGTTGTTTTGAATCCAGAAATTGAAAATTTTGTTGGAATGACGTCTATTGATCATTGAACAACAATAGTTTTATACCATCATGTATAACTTACATCAATTATTTTCGAAGGCTGTTGATCAAACTAAACTTAGATACTGAAGGCAACTACATCTTGATTGAGAGGGGATAATGATAACTGCAACTTCAGCTTTTCTCAGTTTACATCACAGACCAGTATTGGTTTGATATTCAGTGATAATTACAAAGCACATGTGTATGTTTGCGTATGTCTACATTTATTAAACCGTCCAAATAATGTATTCATCAGACAGATAGTGTTGTGTCAGTAATAATTTGCATGTCTTTAAACTATGATTGATTACATTTCACAGCCCATGCATATATTTGTCTTACTCACTTGAATGTCAGTTGCTTTGAACGACTGATAATTTACTCACATCTCTATGTATACATTCTAATTAAATTCTACTAATGTCATTCTCCTTTTGATTCACGTCAGTTAATTAATCCATTATTTCATCTCTCACACTGTGTGTGCTTGCCAATCGTTTGGTTTGCAGTGTACTGAAATAAAAGTTACAACTATATATTTTCTTCTGAAAACTATGCATTGCTGGGAACTATCGTAATAGTATTTATCAGGGGCACTGTTATATGACGTTTAGGAAGAGCTTTCAAAATATCCCACGATAACCTAGCATTGTTGATCCTCGGAATTAGCAGGAATCGAATCCAGGAGTTTTTGTCTAGTAACGAGCGCTTAACCTACATACAACTGGTTTGGAATCTGATTGTGTTCATGCTTAACATCATTTTTCGGTATTCAGCGGCCATCTTTTATTGCCTAAGATCCGTAGCTGTCTTACACCTAATATATTTAAATACAACTGGTCACTAATTTTCAGTAACGATAGTTTACGTTGTAAATATATTTTTAAAATGAACTTTTTTGATATGTATGACAATGGCATTCAAGACATCCTAATTACCATAGGATTACAAACATATAAAGTGACAACCAAGAAAACTATAGAGAAGTAACTTTTAAATAAAATGTCATCTACTTTTCTAAACAATAAGAATATTTCGAGTCTGATAAGAAGAACATTTTCAATTTGATTTCTTACTGAACTTACACTAAATACTTCATTTCTAGAACTATAATCCACATTACGATCAAAATTTGGATTAGTCAACCAAGCTTTTAATCGATCCAACGATACACCATGTGATAAGACAACTTCATAAAGAATGACAGCAATTAAAGAACCACATAGTGGACCAACTACATAAACCTATATGAGAATAATATTCAGAAAAAAGAAAGGAGAAATAAAATGAAATTAAGTAAAATATTCAAGTATTAATTTAAGTATAGTTCATCAAGATTATTTTGTTATGTAAAACTTCGTTTTTAAATTTATATGACATAACAGTAGAATACATAAATGATAGCGATATCTGGATCTTTACGATCGTTCATAGAACTGTAATCAGTTTTTTAAAAATGTTCAGACATCTCATTGGCTCATTTCGTGAAATAAACTTTGATTCGACACCAATGAAAATCAGATAACAGTGTTCTTTGACAATTAGTTGGTTAGTATTTTTTTGGCTTGCGACCGGCAGTAGCCCCGAAGATTCTACTGGAGGAGTTATTCTTTGACAATGGTCACCTTTTATTCTCTAAAATCGATCATTATTAAATTTTCAGATTCCATACTACTTATTGAAATGAAATGAGAACATTAGTTGTAGAATAAAATGAATTCTCTGTATTTCATGGCTTTTTATAAGCTGTAAACGGACTTAATTCATATTCAGAATATTATATTACACATTTTTGAAACCATGAATCGACCAATGTTAGACTACCATTAGAAACCTGGAAGCACTGGACGGCCGTTTTGTCCTCGTATGAGATTCCTCAGCAGTGCGCATCCACGACTCCTGCACCCCGCAAGATTCGAACCCAGGACCTTCGGTATTATGCGCGAACGCCCTAACCGTTAGACCACTGAGCCGGTACCCAACGGTGTTGATGTCTAACTTGATCAAATTCATGGAGTTGCGCAACCTCATACACAGTCTTCGGTAGACACTGCCTACACCCGAACAGGTTGAACTTGTATTATTATAAAAAAATGTGTTATATTACTAGCATAACTAATGAAGTTTTAATTCAAATCAATATAATAAACAAAAGGGAACAAACAGTATGTTCAACATAAAAGTTAAGAGTGATTATTGATCTAACAATGATCAATGAATTCAAACAAATTATTATCAATGAATCAAGTTTTTCGGAAATTTCTGGAAAAAATAAAATCTTTGTTTAGTCTTTTTATTAGATAACGAAATCATCAACTGATGTTATTGAAAAAAAATAACTAAAGAAAAGATACAGAGCATTCCATATAAGCTTATCAAAACTACGCCATCACAACTTATACATTTGTCTGTAGTTGAAGTGTAAATTTAAATATACAAATGCATAAATGACTTGGATATAAATAGTTGTTAAATATAGATTTCTGTATAAACTCTAAAAATGTTAACATCTTACCCATAAGTCAGTGAAATCGTTTGCAACCACAGCTGAACCCAAACAACGTGCAGGATTCAAACCACTTCCAGAATATCTAGCCTAAAATAAAAATGTTTAACTATTAACCCGAAAAAAATTTCTTTTAAATGACTCATAATGATCAATATTAGGTTATTTTTTTAACGATCCAGGCAATTTTCATCACTTTTAGTTTATAAAAATTATTTTAAAAAATATCCGGTTAATTTGTGGTGGCCGATTTCAACGTGTTCTTAATCTTCATGATTAGCTCGTCCAGACAATCGTTACTAAATGGCGTCTGACGGTTTATAAATCAGAAGGTGAACACAAAGTGTTGAATACGTTTATTTTTGACACACCACAAATGGAATAACAGACTACAAGCGCTAAAAGATAAAATCGTCATGAGAGTGCCGGAAAGCAGGCAAGCGAGTGAGTAGGCGAATAAACGGATGAAGCGATGTGAAGAGGGGTAGTGAGCCAACTCCAAGAGATAAAGCATGATTAAGAATTTATAGTCAGACAAAAATAAGACAGACATATGACCAACGAGATAGGTATGCACACACATGAATAAAAGCGACGAATAGTTGACAAGGTGTAAAAAGACAAGTGGAACAAGTTACGTGAGCTCATACAAACCAGACAATAATAAGAACGAGTGGTACACATGAATTGTTGCTATACGAATGGCTTGGTTAAATAAATTAATCGAAAGGGCTTAATCAAATTAAATGTAAGCGAACCTGAACATATGTGGAGGTGTGGTGTGAGCTACTTATAAGTAGTATATGATGTGAGCGTCAACGTAATGTCTGGCAGCGGGAGACGGGGGAAGATCAAGAAAGGAAGAGTTAGAAAACAATGGAATTTGTATGAAACGCATGAATAGTGACAATGGATTGATGTTTGGCAACAGGAACAGTTCAGTTCGATATGATGAACTGATATTTTGCAAATGAACAATTTACGATATGGTTTTCCAATTTTACTGAGTAACTCTGTAATTTCGCTGAATATAATTCGGTTGCCTCACCTGTGTTCTCTTTTACTATAGAGGCACTACAGTTTCATCAACAGGTTCCATATCTAATTCAATAAGGATATATCTACTGATCTGAGTTTTATTGATTCCAACTACTGAATTGACAATATAAACTAGAAAAAATCTCCCTTTTGAAGTAAAAAGTTTAATGTGATGATTTCTAGCTTAACGATTATGATTTCTACGAGTAAACGAGTCTGAAATTCATATCAGTTATATGGTTTCTTGGTACATATTTACGGTAAAATAAAACAGTCTGTAGGCTATACATAGAATGTATGGAAATCTAATAGAAATTTGATAAAATTTTAGAAATTAAAGGATTGACTTTAGAGTATAATACTTGATGATAACTTTATTTTCATACCATAGATAAGAAGCAATAAGCGCTTTTGTAGAAAACAGCTGAAAGCAGATACTGTACCATTCAGATGATAGGAACAAATTGTTGAGTTTGATATGCATGTCAATTGATATGATTGAATGGTATTACGAGTTCACAGTACTAGGTAAACGGAACGAAGGTCAACGTTACAGTGACACGATAGACTATTCTAATCCGTTGTCTTAGGTCCTGCTAACAATAGCAAGACGTTTTGATAAGGCGCAGAGAATGTATTCTACAGGCAACTAGAAAGCTTGACGTTGCTGAGTATACAAATCGAGCTTATTTATACAATGATAGAGGCGCCTTTGGGATAGCCACAAAAATAGCATACTAAAATAATCCATCAACCAATGACAGTTGAGGATTTTTCGAGTGAGAAATGCAAGCTGAAGATCAACTAAGCAACGTATGCGCGAAAATATAGAAAATCCAAAGTTAGGACGTTTTCCAAGTGAGTTCTGGGGATCTAACGGCTCCAACAGACTTCATCTTCATTAAGATACTGACATTAATAATTTATTGATAAGACTAATATATACCAATCCAGTAATTAATGTTAACAATATTAATTTATCATTGAGCTAACAATGAACAATTTATTTCTAATGCTATTTATTTAGATATCATTTGTACTGTGGTGTGAGCTACTTATAAGTAGTATATGACGTGAGTGTCAACGTAATGTCTGGCAGAAGAAGATGGGGAAGATCAAGAAAGGAAGAGTTAGAACACAATGGAATTTGTATGAAACGCATGAATAGTGACAATGGATTGATGTTTTGCAACAGGAACAGTCTAGTTCGATATGATGAACTGATATTTTGCAAATTAACGATTTACGATATGGTTTTCCGATTTTACTGAGTAACTCTGTAATTTTCCTTAAATACAATTCGGTTGCCCCACCTGTGTTCTCGTTCACTACAGTACTACTTAATACTAACTTAATTCTAATATAAACTAAGACTTATTGAATTACAGTAAAAAAAATACAAACATGATATTCCCTAAAAGGTTATTTTTATAGTCAAATCACTAGAATTAAAATCCATTCATTTTTTGTGTAAACAAAATTGCATAGTAATCATAGTCTACAATAACCAACTGGAGTTTACAAAATACATATATTTAAGCAAAAACGTTAAGTAAACAAATACAGCTTGATTTTGCCAGAGGAAAATAACGAAATATTATTGTCATATAATGAAAATAGAGAGAATTTAGACAAGAATCTATTTTTTCGATGCAATCATTTACTGGAGTTGTACACACGTTCTATGGTTGTTTCGTAAATATATAATTCTTCGGGACGATAAAAGAGATTGCATCACAAAGTGATTTGGCATTTCAAATATCGAAAGGCAGTTACGTAATAAATAACCCAAGCATTAGAAAAACAGGAAGATGAGAATGATATAAAGGTCAGATATATGTCCGTATGACAGATAAGAAGAAAATGACAAATGCTAAGGTCATGATAACAATTGATTGATGAACATGAAAAATGATAGAGGTTAATAGTTACTGATTACAGCCTACAAATACCAAAAATAATAGTAATAACAGAACAAAATCAAAAACATACTGGAGAAGGGTGAACGATTAGGTATATCGTTTCTACACACAAAGCTCGGGCCTGAATCGGGCTAGAATTGCCAACACCTCAGCAGTGTACACGTTTTGGATCTAAACTCCGTTTGATCCAATTCTTTTAACTGTGCATATTATTTTAAAGGATAACACTTTAGGAATAACATGTCCCGAGTTGATCAAATGCTCTTAAAATGAGATAGTGATAGCTTTGCATTCCCCTTTTAAAAGCCACGCCGGATGGTGTTTTCTGAGATGCAGTTGGAGAGTGACTATTTTGTGCGGCCAATGTAACCTAATCCACAATGGCAAGTAAATTCGTAGACAGACATTGATGTATTCGGAAGCGCAAGCTTATACTTAACATATACATGAATTGTAGGCCATAAAAAGAGTTTTCTTTCGAAATGTCGTTGCTTTTTCAAAGTGTAAACTTAGTGTCAATTTCCTTTCGAATAATCTGCTTGGACAGTTATTTTTGATGCATATCTGTCGAAGTAGAAGTAGTTCATCATTTTTCGTGTTATGGGAACTGTTGGGGACGTTAGATCCCCAGAACTCACTTGATAAAGGCCATAATTTTGGATTTCATTCATGCGCTGATCAGCCGACCTTGAGATCACATTTCCCACCAGGAAAATCTTTGGTTGTGATTGGTTGATGTGTTATTTTAGTACGCTAGTTTTGTGCTTCCTCCAAGGATGTTTCTATGATCAATAAATAAACGCGAGTTGTGTGCTTGAGATCACTGTATTTACTGGGTGTTTGTAGAATACACTTTTTACGCCATATCAAGACTTTTTCTTCAGTTAGTTTGGGCAACGAATTAGAGTAGCCTACCGTGTTACTGGTTTATTGTCTCGTTCTCGTTTATCAACTAAGGCTAACTCGCAATAGTTTCAAGCACATCAAGTGACGAGCATGACAGGAACATACTCTCCTAGTTCTCGGGGATAAATAGTGGATTAATTTACTCTTCTTACTCAAAGGAACTCCTCTGTGGAAATTTGTATACTGACTATTCCACTGTCAAGAAAGTGAAATCCCTCATTCATTTCCGCTTCCCATGTGAATTAAATTGAGTGAAGAACATTATTTAATAGATCGAGAGGGGGAGGGAGCGAAGACACACTGCAGCACATATGAAGCACTAAAAATAGAGGAAAAACGTCTGATGACCATCTTCCAAAAGGGTGGCTATCCACGAAACTTCATCAAAAAACATCAACCTAAGTCGTCAACAGAAGCGAAATCAAGTACAGGAACCAATAAACGGATCATCCATACATAAAAGACATCAGAGCATAAAGCACGACTACTGAAACCATTTGGAATATGGTTAGCACACACACACCAACAGCATCACTTCAATCGATCCTATGTAGACCAAAGGACAAAATGACAAAGGAAGAAAAACCAAATATCATCTACAAAATAAATTGCTCAAACTGTGAAAAACACTACATAGGACAAAGAGTGGACGGTCTATTCAGCTTCGTTTATGTGAACACCAATTAGCAGTCAAACGCCACGACAACGCTTCGCTTATATCAATACACACCGACAATTATGGACACACATTTGATTGGAACAATGTGGAAATACTGGGTAGGGGAAGGACAAAGAACACTGGAGAATTTGTAGAAGCTTGGCCCTCAGGTCAGTAAGAAATCAACAAACACATCGGCATTGATCTAATTTACCAACCAATCAGAAAAAATCATAGGTGACATAGGATTAAGAAACAGATCAAAAGGGGAATACGATCAAAACAAAGGTGCAAACAACGATAGGTTTAAGGACAACAGCAACCAATCAAGATTGAAGTTAGCAGAACAAGCTACAGGTCAAACGTGGAGAAATTCGAATGCTTCACTTCTATCTGACTTTGTGCTGATGATGCTGTTCAGAGGAACAATGATAGCTTCACAACCAAAACATCCAGCTCAGAGAACGAAACACCACCACAAGCATATACAAGCAACATGGATTTCACCGTATTACATTACGCAGAACTAACTCGACCATATCTGTATCATTATCAGGTTAACAACGACTACAGAGGACATAAGCACCAAGGTAGGAGCTGATATAGCTTCAGATCACCACTTTTACTCATGTCCTTTTCTCATCCAAGCTGTCTCACAAACTGCTCCTCACATTCAGCCAGCATAAACGAAACCATCAGGCCACATGAGAATTTATCAAAGGCTAAATGACAACCTATCGTAGTAAAAAAATAAACTCTTAATTGTGTACTATCTGATCAATAAATATTTAGTTGTATGCTTTTCTCATGACTTGTTTTCTCATACAACCCATATTGAGTCAAACAGTTGGCCTTTCATTCGTCTACTCAAAATTTACTCACTTAAAAAGCTGAGTTTAATTTCATAATTATTTATCCTTTCCGCCGACTCACCGAAATATTCGATGACGTTTAACTCATTCATTCTTCGGTTTGATGAGTGAATTAAAGAAGGAACATAAATGTCTATTTATCTTTGAAGATGTAAACCTCAGTCATTATACATTCAAGTGACTATATGGGAATCACTTGCAGAATCAATTCTTGACAAAATTATTTACCACAAACTAATAATTTTCCAACTATTAAATGAATTCTTTATGTTTTGATATTTACCACAGGTGAAGAGCACTGAAGATTTGTTCAATAAGGGAATTTCTTAATAATGAAAGTCGCATTCAGTAGCTAAACCCACGTTATTTCACTTTCAGTGTTTTAATGAAAACAAGTATGAACACTGTAACGCCAAATTAAGTGAATAAGAATCACATACTTACTGATATCATAAAAATATACTTTCTCAGTCGATTACGGTACTACGTGCTCGTTTACAATGTGTGTAGTGTATGTACCAATATGTTGAACCCACATGTATTGTCCTAGCTTTTGGACTGACTAATCAACCTTTTATGCCTGAGTCATTATTATTCATATGCCTTTCGACCTTGTCTATTATTCGCAAGTACCCTTTAATTTATCTACTTGAGTGTGTGTTCATGATTACCCACTTTTACATGTCTAGCCTATTATTTTTATTGCCTGACTATAAATACTTAGTCATGCTTCCTTCATCTCGTTGGATTGGACCACTCTACTTCTCCAATTTTCTCTCCGCTTATATGCTTGCTATTCTCACATCCGCGTACACGAACGATTGCCTGCAACAAACTCATCCGACAATATCTTGATTTGACTTGCTATTACCGCCGTCGCACAAACAGAATTTGCCTGAGTATGCTGTTGGGAAATGGAAAGGAAAATTTATTTCATTACATACTCGATCATTCATTCGTACAAACTGGAATCAAATCACAGGCCACTGAAGTGGTAAGCCCTACTTGGAATACAGCAGGGACACCAAATATTACTCATGAGAATTGCGTCCTTAGCAATCAAAAAACATTTGTCTCCTATTTTTCGAGTTAATTTAAGGATAGAGATAGGATAGATTTACAAGCTCATAAAATTTTTTTTCCCATCGAGACTAAAAGTTTAATTTCAAACTTATGTGGAACACAAATGAATCTAATCTGAACAAAATCATCTCGAGAAAATTATTAGTACAAAGCGGTAATCTGTTTTGCTGTTACTGATTTTAAGACCTAATCGTCAATAATAATTTTCACATTATTATTCAAATTATCATATTAATGTAAATATAACCGTGTAGTTCAAGCATATAATTTCATAGAAATGAAAATTCACTAAGCTAAAACAACTCAATTCTTCTACAAATATCAACACTTGTTCACCTTTGATATAATTACGGGCATCAAACACATTCAGTAGCCAGCGATTTGATTCTAGTTTTGTACGAATGGTCGAGTATGCGGTGAAATAAATCTTCCTTTCCATTTCCGTACAACATATTTAAGCAAACTCCGTATCTGCGACCGCCACAATAAGAAGCCAGATGCTGATCCTGTCGGATGAGTTTATTACAGGCAATTTTCGCTTAGACGGACGTGAGAATAGCAAGCGTACAGAAGAACAATAGCGAAGTGAATTGGAGAAGTCGAGTGAACCAATCCAACGAGATGAAGCATGACTAAGTATTTATAGTCAGGCAATAATTAGCTAGACATGTAAAAGTGAGTAAGCATCAACACACACACACACACACACGGTCAAATAGAAAATAGTCAATACTGTTATCGAATTATTCAAACTACTAATCATTAAAGCTAATAAAATGAATATATGCGTAGGCGGCAAGTAATGACCCAAGCATCCCCATGTTCATTACAAGTTCAACAATAATAAAAGTACATTCGATAACAGATAAGTTATTGCTGTACGAATGGCGTTCTGTTCAATAAGTAAAAGTAAAATAAATAAAAGGGCATAACCAAGTTAAACATAAACAAATTCAAATGTCTTTAAGGTACTTGCTATAAAATCATAAATAATATAAATTACAAAACAACTTACTAATATACCAACTAATAAAGCATGAACAACTCCCATTTGAAATGGCAAACTAGTAAATAATCCAGCTGTCCATATATTTGGTCGAAATTCATCAGTTGTAGCTAGAATAGCTAATACAATTGCAAATCCACCAAAAAGTTCAAATCCAACAGCATTACCTTGTGATACTGAAGGATTTTTCATAACTAAACCAATTTTATTTAATTGTGATAAATCATTAGGCAATAAACTTTTAGCTATCAATGCACCTAAAATAGCACCAACTAATTGAGCTATTATAAATAATATAGTATGTATAATTGTTATTCTTCGTGTGATAAAGAATGCAATAGTTACTATTGGATTAATTTGTGCACCACTTATTGGTCCAAATATCCATACAATCCATGAAAATGTAAAAAATACAATAATACAATCTGATACTGGATTAATAGTTGGTGGAAAACTATACAAGCCAGCAACAAAACATAATGTCCCAGTACCAATTAATTCAGATATAAATAAACGTATTAAAAAATAAAATTCTGTTGTAGAACATTTTGGTAATTTGTCCATTGATGGTTTAATAGATATTGGTGAATTGTTTACACAATTTGATGGATGATTTTCACTTGTCATTTCGTATCTTTCAATATGACAATTACAAAGTATATGTTGATGAAATGTTCTCTAAAAAAGTATAAATTAAACACGTATATATATATATATATATGATTATTGTAATTTGAAGAATATGTCGTCATTGTTGTTTTATTAAATAAAATACATACTAACTTATCTAATTTTACAAAAATTTCGACTTTGCACATTTTCATAAATTAAATTAAAACATTTTAGGTTTTTTTTCTTTTTTTAAAAAAAATTTCATTCATAATAAACTTAGTAGATTTCATAATTTTAAATGATATGACTTTACATTTGAAATTTTTAGGAAAAAAAGAAAAGTCATATAAATTTGATTATTTCTTAAACTTTATCAAAAGTCGATTAGGATGAAATTAATTTAAAAGATATTTTGGGAAATGGATCATAAATAATATGATAGGAAAATGATAATATTAGAAATGTTGACATTTTATCTATCATATATTAGATGTAGCCAACAGTTTATATACAAGACTAGTCTTTATGTAATAATAAGAGGTATGAATGACTTTAAGATTCTAGTGTGGTGCGCGCTACTTATAAGTAGTATATGATGCGAGTGAAAACGTAATGTCTGGCAGCAGATGATGGGGGAAGATCAAGAAAGGAAGAGTGGGAATACAATGGAATTTGTATGAAACGCATGGACAATGAAATGTCAGACAATGGATTGATGACGAATTGATGTTTTGCAAATTAACGGTTTACGATATGGTTTTCCTATTTTACCGATTAACTCTGTAATTTGAGATAAATACAACTCGGTTGCCCTCACCTCTGTTCTCCTTCACTACACTAGGAGCTCTTGATAATAAGACGAAAACAGGCTTTAAAAAAATGGTTGTCTAATAATGGTAAGGGAAAACTTGGCTAATAATTTTTCAAATTTTTTGTTGATAGTTGCTTCAGTAAACTTCTTTAAAGAATTTTCAAAAGTTTTTAATAGATACGTACAAGTTTTTTAAAGATTAGTGCAATTAGTTGATGGTTAAGCAGATTTAGTTAACGCATTAAGTAGCAGGTTTAAGTATTTATTTCATTTAGTTTGTTTTGAATTGTAGAATAGCGTAGACGAGATATCCGTTCGATAACCAAAGGACAAGTGTACTATGCAGCAGTTCGCTCCGTCCTACTATATGGATGCGAAACATGGCCAGTGAGAGTAGAAAATATTCGTAGGTTACTGGTTTTCGATCATAGGTGTCTTCGAAGCATTGCTCGTATATCGTGGGACAACCGAGTAAGCAATGCTATTGTTAGGAAACGAATTCTAGGTAGGGATAGCAGGTCAATAGATGAAGTATTGAAACTTCATCAGATGAGGTGGGTTGGGACATGTGTTACGAATGCCCAACCACCGACTGCCTCGACGAGCTATGTTTGGTGGTGTAGGAGTAGATTGGTATAAAGCTATGGGCGGCCAGATCAAAACATGGCAAAAATCCATGAAATTTCTGGCAGGTGGACTGAGTCATGTTGGTAGATGTAGACTACCTGGTTGAGGTCCCTGAGACGAAAGTCACCGATGGTTAGAGACTTTAAACGACATGGCTCAAAATCGTTTGCAATGGCGCAAGTGCATCCATTCGTTGTGCTCTCTCAAATCCTAATCTTCTGGATTCGTCAGCACCTCTACCTTTGTCTTCCTAACCTTATCGCTGAATTATACTTCTTGAATAATATCTTCAAACCCTAGTCTTCTTCATAACCATTAGTAATACCTCTACTATTTTTATCACTATGGGATTTGATTTGACATTTGCTTCTCTGTGCTAATGTGGTATGGCAACATGAACTTATGTTCATACGTACGAAGTTCTACGTTGCAACTGACTGACTGACTGACTAACTGAGTTGTAGAATAATATCAGTTTCTTCTACATAAATGATCTGGGTAGAATTTTAGTATGTATAACCTTCCTCAAGATAGATGAATTGAATAACTTCATCACAGCCATTTAAAAAATTTCAAGACATTTATGAAAAATTCTTATATTATAAATAAGAACAAGTTATACAAGTGAATAGTATCATTTTACATCGGAACATTAGACCAGTAAAAATAACTTGTTAGTTAAGATCACTCTAATTATAAATGAAATAGTAGCAGCATGACATGAGACTTATTATTCGTAACAACGATCCGAATAGTTAAGATAACTTAGGATAGATAAATTATGGCTTTAGGTAGAAGCCAGGACATGACTATCGGTGTATTTAGGACTCATAGGCTAAATTTACCTGCATCTTAGTGTTGATGCTGTAATTAGGAATCAAAACCAGTAATTTTTGGCTTGAAACCTCGAATGCATAATCCAGTGCGCTACTGAGTACGATGAGTACAATATTTATATCATTATTAAAGAAGGTTTGAACTACCACATTGTTGATATATTTGACTAAAATACTCCACAATCTATCTGCTCTAAATAAAGCTTGTAAAAAGTGTGCATATCGAGAAAGTCTGAAAACATAATAACAAATACTTGATAAAATCCAGACAGGAATATCAGAAAAAGGATTATTTAAACCCTTTCTTACATAGAACGGGGTTTCAGGACTCCAAGAATAACGTTTAATGAACTCAAATCGTTTGCATTAGCGGTACAGGACGATAAAGAGATGTCAGAAGGACGAGTCGAGGAGAGAGATTTTACGGGGTGTAGGAAGGATTTGATTGTGACCGATTTGGTGTCGCGTGCTGTTACGGGTACGAGGGCGGTTCTCACTTCCCGGATACACACATCATGGAAGGGAAGCATTGCTCATATTTCCTGGGACAGCCGAATGAGCAATGCTGTCGTCAGGAAACGATTTCTAGGTAGGGGTGGGAGGTCAATAGATGAAGCAGTGAAACTTCATCAGTTGAGGTGGTTGGGACATGTGTTACGTAGGCCCAACCACCGACTGCTCCGACAAGCAATGTTTTGTGGTGTAGGAGTAGGTTGGAGGAATGCCAGGGGCGGCTAAATCAAAAGATTGCGAAAATCCATGAAGTCACCGACAAGGTGACTGTGTCATATCGGTAGATGTAGACTACCTGGTTGGGGTCCGCGAGACGAAAGTCACCAATGGTTAGAGACCTTGAATGATATGGCTCAAAATCGTCTGCGATGGCGCAGGTGCATTTATTCTTTGTGTTCGCTCAAATTCTAACCTTCTGAATTCCTCATCATCTCTATATTTCTCTTTCTAAACTTATCTCACTGAATTATAATTCTCGAATCATATCTTCGAACCCTAATCTTCTCCATTACTGCTAATACCTCCAATATCGCTACCACCATTGGATTTGAAATGACAGTTGCATCTCTGTGCTGATGTGGTATGGCAACCTGAACTTATGTACTCATGTACGAAGTTCTACGTTGTAACTGACTGACTGAAACCCTCTTTAATAATTATATAAATTATAACATTTTAAGGTAAATTAAGTTTGAATGATGAAAAAAACGTTACAATCGGAAATAAAGTGTATTCATTTTAGTATTATTGTGAGTATAAATTCCACATTTCATTTATTTTAGATTTTTTTTCCATACATAAAATCATGAGATTTTTAAATAATCAACAAGTAATACCCTAAAATGAGTAAATATCATACAAGCTACTTTTAATTATTATTTTTTTTAAATAATTGCTCTTAATAGACAACATTTAAAGTGCATTTTAAGATTTATGATGAGTACAGTTTGAAATTATCTTGGAACTATTAAGTTGTAACTTTTTTTCAAATATAATCACATTCTGTATCAAATCAAATATTTTCAATGTGTCCATTTAAAAAATAAACTACATAGCCAACTTTATGCATTAGTTGATAAATTTGGAAAAATTTCACCAACCTATAGATTATCTCTGTCAACTTTTGAAAATACTTGTTAAACATGTGAATTATTTATCAAGCATTATTCTCTTATTTGAATACAAGTTAAAGGTAAAAAATACAACTAAAACAAATGTAATATAAATTATTGAACATTGGACAAAAAAAGCAAATGAAATCAGTACATCTACAACATACCTTCATATAAACTGATTTTGATGATCAAAAAGGAATAAAAACTTACTGATATAATTAAGTAACAGAAAATATGTAATAAAAGTGTATAGTAAGTACTATTATTCAAATTCAGTTACAAAGTATAACACATTTGTTAATGTTTATAGGTTAGTTTATTTGAGATTAATTTGTAAATGAACAAAAATACAAACAAATAGACTGACTATAATTGATTATATGGGTGGAGATTAGATATTTTTTGAAAGTAATATATTTGAACTTCCAAATGTCAATAAAAGAAAATCAGTTATTGGTTAGAATAATTGTGTACAATAGTTTAAACATTACAAAAGTAAGCAGCAACCAATTGAAATTGTCTAGATAAGACAATATGAATTAACACCATTGGGCTCAAACTTTTTTTCTCTACAATGGAACACACAAGTGGTCTGTTTTTTCTTAAAGTTTATCTACTAACAAAACTACAAACATGATTGAAATGATATTACAGAAATCTTATATTCACTGTGTATATTCTAAAGCTCCTACAATCCATTTAGATTTCGTGATGTTAGTTAGCATATATTTCGAAAATCATCATGTATATACATGGTATGTATAATAGCAGTTGAACATCATTATTTTGATAACAACATCGAAGACCATTCATTCCTCAGTGTGTAGTAGTACAGTATAACTTATTTGAAGAACTCCGAGAATTTCCTGACGAAACTAGTCGCTAGTGAGAATATTTTACGATTTTTTCAATTATTGAGAAGACGTGATCAATGGAGTTCGACCCTGACGAGTGTAGAGAGTAACTATTGAAGACAAATGGTTGAGGTCGCGCAAAATCTCAATATTGATCAAACTTAGACAGACATTCGCACCATTGGATGCGGGCTAAGTGGTTCCGAGGTTAGAAGTTCAGGAGTTCACGGTTCGAATCCTACGAGGAGCAGGAGTCGTGGATGCTAACTGCTGATGAGTCCCACATCAGGACGAAACGGCCGTTCAGTGTTTCTAGGTTTCTAATGGTGGTCTAACATGAACTGTCTGGATAAGAAGCATATTAACTTCTCAGCACTTCAAATCATTGAAACGATTGCAAGATAATACTGATATTATTTATGTTAAACGTAAGAAAGGATCAAGTGTTATTTTTACGTATAAGTCCGATTACAAAAATGAAATGGTATCCATTCTCAATGAATGATATAGGTTTATGGCTGATGGTGACTATGATCTATGCCATAGATTAGAAATAAAAGTCTGTCCGAATCTAATGAACTTACTAAACATGAGTTTTATTAACAAAGAAAAAGCTAATTTATTAAAACCTTTAGGTTCAGTGTATCCTTACTTATATAGACTACAGAAAATTCATTAACAGAATGCTCCGTTACTTTCAATTATGTCCTTGTCTTGAAAGCTTACACAAAATTTTGCAAAGTGGTTGACAAACGTATTAAATCCTATTCAAAATCAGTTTTGTATGAGTTCTTTGAATGATTCATTGAACTAATTAATTGTGAAGTCACTCATGATATAAAAGCTAAGAAAAATTGTTTCTTTAATGTAAATACTTTATTTACAAATGCACCTCTTAGGAAGACTATTAATAGTTTGTATGGTTATAGCCTTAAATTGATCAGAGTTAGACATTAACATCGTTGGATACTTGCTCAGTGACTAAGAGATTAAGCGTTTGCGCGCAGGACCGAAGTTCCTGGGCCCAAATCCTGAGAATGACAGGGGTCACGGATGCGTACTGCTGATGAGTCTCATAACAGGACGAAATGCCATCTAGTACTTCCAGGTGTTTGATGATAGTCTAACGATAATTCATTCATGATTTCAATGTGATTATATCTCGTTGAATGATATTCCATATCCAGTTCCTGTTAGAACTTTAATAATTTATTATTATTGTCATTTTCATGATTAATAATATTATTATTACCTACTGATAATGAGCAATTTATTTTTGAAGAGAAGCGCTTTCAGCATATTGATGGAGTGTAGTCTTTCAGGACTATTGCTGACTGATGTGTTCATGGTTTACTTCAAAAAAAAAAACTCGTTAAACACCTAATTCTAAAGATAAGTATTTGTAAGCGGTCGGTGAATAGCACCATTTTGGTAAATGATTAACTTGCTTATTTGCAGCGCTTGTTAAAGAAACTCAACACAATTCAAAAACATATTTCCCTTATATGAGAAGATGAGGTAAATGATCAGTTACCTTAGCTAGTCCTACTAGTTAGTAGAAAAGATGATGGTTCTATATAAGAAACCTAACATGAATAGAGTAATATCTAAGTTACATTGTTCCTCTCTAGCCCAGTACAAAAGTGGGTTTATAAAGGGCTTATTCAATAAGTTTAATAAAATTCGCATCAGCGCTATTGCTGAGGGAGAAATAAAGCTCTTGACTGAAACATTGGTGAGTAACAGTTATTCATTGAATTTATAAAACCAATGAAAAGGACTCAGTAAGAGGAAACCAACTAGGTTTTCGGCGACTAAAAACGGGTTTGAAGTACTTCATCATTTAGAGGTGACTCCACTAGTCCTAAGTTGGAACGAGGAATTAAACCAGCCGTCAGTATGAAATTTCATGCAGCTCAATTCATCATAATCCAAAAGTCAAGATCTATGTTCCATCGAAAATCCTGACAGCATGTAAACGATTGTGTTTACTGATTTGCATGTGTTTTGCGTAAGCATACGTAGAGAGGAGCAACCTTGACCTGTAAATAAGGATGGCTGAACATATACCTAAATCACGGCGAAAAAATACTAACCAGAATCGTCAAATACGATCACAGAGTTGTCAGATACCTCCCTCCATTTCGAAACATTTATCTGAGATGGGTCACAGGATTAATATCAAGTTAGCGCCTTCGTTGTGTTATATAAAAGTGTTCATGGACGCATACTAAGGTTAATCAAAGCCTTAGTTATATGAAAATTATATCTTTTCTAAGCGGTCAAAAACACTTTTTTCCTGCTCTTAACCTAACTAGGCAGTAGTGATTTATTATCCAGCGTGTTTTCTTCAAACTGTGTACTTTATCATTTTATTTGTTTTCTCTTACCACTTGTTGAGTTGACATTTTATCCTACATGGTATCTTAAGAAGTAATATATGTGATCCGGTTATGTGAAATGTGTTGGACAAATAATTTAGATAATCTTCATTTTCTTATTTCACTATCCAAATTTATTAAAACTAACATACGGTAAATAACGAAGTATACGAATGTTTAGCTCCGTTGAGTGATATAGTCCAAGAGTACGTTTTGTTGGTAGGATTATATATGGTCAGATATACTTAACATGGAAATTGGCTTATGTTTATATCGTTCCGGACTTCTATAACCTAGGCCAAATTTCAGAGTTAATAATATAATAAACGAATACAGCAATGTTACATTTGACAGAGTGAAGACAGTGTACTAGCCAAAATGTGTGCATCTTATCTTCAAACGTCCATTCGAAGAACAAGCATATTATCGGCTGTCTTGCTCCATATGTCTTCTGGTCTTCAAGAAACTCTGACTGTCCCGTACATTCCAATCTGACACCTTTCGCTTCATCAGTAACTTCAAGGCGACACTCCGCTGAATATTAATTGCATGATACTTACAAACCACGTTGTGAGTAGCATATACTACACTAACAGTACTAGCATTAGGCGTCGAACAAATGATTCAGTAGATTACGAGAACAAAAATATTTCCAAGATAATTTATAAACATAAAATCTAATGGAAGACAAAGAGCGAATATTTCTGCCCCATCGTGGAGGATTTTGAACCAGGTAATTCAGGCCATCATCCGGAAGATACAAACATTTACTGATAGTTGTCTACACAAGAAAATAAGGATCAGCTAGCCAAGCACCTTGAGCAACAACCTACTGTGGGAGAGATCGAACCAGATTCCGGTAGAGGGGTGGACAAGACACACGTTGAGGAAAGTGCTCAACTGTGTCAAAAGATAAGCCCTCATTCGCAATCTTTAAGACCAGAGAACACATTAAGCCGAGAAAGGAGATAGACATGGGAAGAATAGACACCAACTGTATAGAAATGGAAAAGAAGGACCATTTTAGAGTGGGTAACAGCCACAAGTAATTTAGGTTCTCTAACCATTTGTTAAGATAATTAAGTGGACCGCCAGTCAGTTAGTCTGCATCTACGTATATGGCTTAGTCCAATAATCTATGAATTCATGAACTGATTCCATGTCTTGGTTTGGCTACCTCTAGCTTTCTTTCAACCTACTCATACATCAACGCGCATTGAGGCAGTTAGTGCAGGGACATGTTTATTATATGTTCTAATCATCTCAGTCAACTAAGATTCTCTGACTCATCAGTCGATTTACCATCTTTATTTAGTACCCTAAGTCTAATCTCAGAATTATATTTTTGACCTGTAGGATAATATTTCAGTTAAATAATTCTAAACATAAAAACTAACCTAAAGTACTAAATTTTGTACAGTTAAAAATTAGAAAGCAAACGTCAGCTAGGGTGATTGTTTAAATAATTTCAGAATGACATATTTTATTCGGAATCTCACTACAATTTTACTGTTCAAAAGTAAATTAAATGAAAACATAAACAACATGTTCTATGTTTCTGATAAGAAAATAGTTTGTTCAATATTGAAAAACAACAACAATAATAATCAATAAACAGCTTATTTTTGATCAAGAAGTCAACAAAAGTAAAAGAACAAAACAATGTTGTCCTTAAGGATATAGGAAAAAAAATATGTGCTTTACCTATATGAGTTAAGTTCACACCATTAAAGATTAATTAAATTTTTAAATTTTATTTTTAAGTTGTCCAAAAGT